TGTGTGTGTGTGTGTGTGTGTGTGTGTCAGTCAGTCCTCAACGTACAGTACAGCTGATAAAAACTGAATAGAAAACCAATAAACAGGGGTCTAGTTGGGCTCGTGCTTCCTCATTGAGCTCGCCGAGTCCTGACAGATGGGGGTTGAACAACGAGGTACATTTTCTAGAGCGACACCAACGGCACTGATAAGGTCTTTTACTCGTGACACAGATTGATGGGAGGCGAAGCGGCGGAGGAGTGATAGCAACAGTCGGGGGGATGCATCCGTCACAGAGGGAGGATGCTGCCACTGGGAGTTTGTTGACAAAATGGTAAATTGTGTGCATCCTCCCCGAAAATGTCACAGGAGCTCGCAGCAGCTGTCTGTTTGGTTCTAGTCCGGAGATTAACACGTTGTGTGTCAGCCGGCGCCGCTGCCAAGTCCTTTCTAATTCTTCATCAAATCCAGATGAGACAAAGCGCACAACACGAGGAATCCTCCCGAAACATTTCAACAGGCCTGCGAGAATAAACTCAGGCTTTGTATTAAGGTTGGAAAGAAAAGAAACAAAGATAGAAAGAAAGAAAAAAGACTCATGTCAGAGTCTTCTCTCGTTTCTCCTTTTTTTTCTTTAAATACATAGAATTTAACTTTTGCTTTGCACTGAATATTTTCAGATTTTAGAACCAGTGAACTGAAACATGACTTGGAGATTAACTGGTAAATATTCAGTGAACTAGTTGTCAGAGATTGTTGTTCCACATTTACTCAGATTAAATTTATGCTTTCTTTATTACTATCATATGTCGATACAATATTAAAATACTAGATGTCCATATTAGGGCAGGATGTCCCCTGCCTCTGTCCCAATGTCAGTAAGAGGATGAGAGGGTGGTAACAATCGCTGTGTGTGCTACCCCGTGAAAGGTTTCCAGATGTTCGGCCAATTGGAAGATGGTCTGCTTTAGAGGAGGCCTGGGCAAATAGTGCCGGTGTGCCTGTGCGGAACAGGCTGTTTGAGATGAATAAGAACTTTTTTGGGCTTGGAATCATGCAGAGCTACTCTAGAGGAGTCCCGTAATGGCGATATAATGTTGGAAAATGAGCACAATGGGTCCCTTTAATGTGTTGCACACTATTAAGTTAATAATCCCAACAGTTATATCCCTGGCTCGTAACTGCACCTTCCCAACTGACTCAGCCTCATTTCAGACGAGGCTGAGTCCATTTCGTCCACTCACCACTGAGAAATTCATGACTTTTATGATCCAGACGGTGAGCGCCAGGTTAACGATCATGGTGACCAGGAGCAGCAGCAGGAAGAAGTAGAGGCATCTCTTCCTCCAGCCGTACAGGCCCACCGGGTAGACGGCATCGCAGCCCGGTCGCTGGAGGTGCAGGGACTGGGAAGCGAGGATGAACTGCTCCTGGGTGATCTGGGGGGGAAAAAATCAAAGAGACACACACACACACAGGAGGCTTTATGTCCACAGGCTGACAAGAACAGACACAATCACACATTGGAAAAGATTATTATTACTAAGGATGACTCCGAGCTGAGGCACGGCTGTGTTCACCATTTTGGAAAAGTGGTGCTTCTAAAAAAGTACAGAAGGTGAAAGCACATTATGAAACCACCTGAAACACTCATGCCTGGTAATTAAATGGACTAAGACAAGGATTTCAACCTGTGACACACTCGGCACTAAAAAGTCTGAATAATCGTTTCCGTTGGTAAAATTTGAATTTTCAATTTTTTGCTTTGTCCTGAGATATCTGGTCGCAGCATTGAACCTGTAGCAGAGTGATCCATCAACCCGCGTGCACAAGAGACAAGGTCATTTAGGTGACTACATTTATTAAAGAGAGATACCAAATCATGGAGCCTCTTCTGTGTTGGTCCGCTGCAGGAAAAAGAGGAATCGTCCGTCAAGATTCATCGATTACAAGTTTGAAATCACTTGCGGGAATAAAAGGCCCCAGAAGAAGGAACATTTTGTAAACAGCAGCTTTTTATTTCTGTGTTAAGTCAATAAAAAGGCAAACAGCAGCTAAATCTAACTGCTTATGAGCTAATCATAGGGATTAATGTAAATTAGATGACTGGAACACGAGGTGCTTGACATTTCTGCTCGTTTTTTTATGTACTTCATTTCTCTAACGTCACTGCTTTGTTTTTCAACGTTAATTACATGTTGACATTTTGTCAAACTGGATCCCTGTGCTCACAAAGAAAGCCGCAGTGAGTGGCAGCTTCCTGCCGCCGATCTGTTTGCCGCTCCCCTCAGGCTGAGATCTTTATAGTGCTGCTGCCCATCAGTCTTTCACGGGAAAATATTTCACATGTCACGCGCACTAAAGAGGCTGTGCAGACCTGCACTTCTAGATGTGAAACTAATGGTGAGGGGCTGCCACATCAAGTCAGCCCGCGACTTCAATGCACGACAGTCCTCAGCTCGGAAATCTCACATTATGGAAGAGAGGTGAATTATGAGATGCCAGGGAGTGTTTTTCACTCAAACTAAGTGTCTTCCAGCCGCTTCTGCTGCTGCACGCAAGCTCTGATGTGAGATCAGAGAGGATGGTGTCTGTCAAGCGTGGTTGTCCATGGCCGGGGCGAGTGGGGTTGTTGTTGTCCAGCCGATTGTGACCGTGAGCTGACAGCGTGAAACTCCCCATCACAGGTCTGCGGGGCTGGATGAGCTCTGAACTGTTGTGCTCAGCTGTTGTTGTGATGAATTCACAGTGAGGCTCTCTCCCGCTTTCATTGCATCAACTTCTGCCAAGGCCCAACAGTTCCCGCATGAAACCACATTTAAATTCACTAGGTCCAGATTTTTATTTGGATCTGGATGTAATATGAGTCTCCTAAACATGCCTGATTATTTTCACCCATTAATTATTCCTTGAGATATCAACAAAATGTTAAAGAAAGTGAAAATAAATTCATGGATCTGCCCCAAACTTTAATGGGTTCTTCCTTGGCTCATAACCCACCCCTGCACAAAATGTCATGGAAATGGGTTGAGTAGTTTTTACGTAATCCTGCAAAATAACAAACAAACTAGAGCGGAACCCAGTAGAGCGCACACCTCCTCCAAGGCCCAGTCCTCACTCACAGATATCAGTTCCCAGGAAAGTGACAGATTTTTTTTTTTCATCAAGATCCATGAATTATTCCCTGAGAAATTGTTGAAAACGTCAAACGCCCCATAAAATGTTAAAGATCTGCATCCTGGTACGGATCTGCACCAAAGATTTGATGGGTTCTTCCTTTGGTCATATGCATCAAACAATCAAACACAGATGTAAAACTCAACCTCCATTGTGGAGGTAATGAATAAAGCACAGCGCCCGCTCATACAGACAAGTTTTGAATACATTCCACAGGGCCGCTATAGAATACTTAAATTGCAGGAAACACACACATCCATAACTGACACACCTCAGAGACGAGTGCAATGCATTTTATTACTCAGGTCAGAATCCACGCTCCACATGCTTTATTCACACTGACGGCAGGAACCATCACGTTTTCACGACAGCCTCTCATCTACTGCGGCACAAAAATCACAGTATCTGAAGACCAAAGTTTTCATCGACAGACAGGACACAGAATCACAGCTTTTTTTGTTTTCTGTCTTTGTTGTAATAAATCAATCTCTCTCACGAGGAGCCTGCAGTTCACATGTTTGTGTGATTACAAAACCACAAAACCCTGAATCTAGCTCTTTGGTGCATCAGCTGGACGAAAAGCTGGAGCCAGAAATAGATTCACGTCCTTCAGGCTGTCCAGGAATTTAACACAAGCATTTCACAAAGGCAGAGAGATTCTACTCACGATTATTTTCAATAACAAAACTCGAATAGCACTCAGTCGAGCGCATATCTCCACCGAGGCTCAACAGTCACCTTACAATCAAGCTGCAACAAATTTTACACACTCAGATATCAGCTCCCTTAATGTGCCTGATTTTTTTCATCAACATCCATGAATGATTCCCGAGGAAATCAAGGAAAATGTAAAACTGGAAACACCCCCTGATCCGGATCCACACACTTGACGCACATGCATCCTTCCACCAGGTTTTGTGGAAATCTGTCGAGGATTACATAAACCAATAAAAAGAATATAATAAACTAATGGTTTAAAATCTTTTTACAGATATTGTCTTGTTACACCTTTTCACATGTGATGATTCAAATCACTTTCATATCAGATAACGACTTCACCAAATCTTCGTCAAGTATGGTAACTGGCCTAATTATATGACATTTCAGAGGCTTTAAATTTTACACACCCACGAAAACCTGTAAGAGGAAGGGTTGGGCCAAAAAATATCTCAAGATTAAAAGTATATCAGTCAATATTGATAACAGAATTGAATTATCACGAAAAATGTTTATGAGAAGAGAATAACAAACACATTTTATGCACAATCCATAAGCAATATATCGATATAGTTTGGACTCTTGTTATATTGATGAAAATAATATTGTGATAATTATTGATATTGCTTTACTGCCCTAGTTTGAGGACTGAGTTTCAAAATCCTTCCCATTTCCGACACCCCTGCATGGAGGCGCATGAATGTGTGGAACGTCCTCAGCAGCTTTATCGCTGCTTCACGGCTTAATCCACCGTTTAAGTGACTGCTCCCGTGGTTCAAACAGTTCAGGTCACATCTGCGAGCGGTGGCAGATGTCTCACAAATGGATGCTGTGACTTTGCAGCGAGTACAAATGACCCACTTCACTGGCCAAGAAATGTCAGCGATTCCAATTTAACCAGCGACACAGCTGAGGGACGAGAGCGTTATGAGAGGTGCTTACACAGAGGCCGAGTCTCAGTCACACAAGACTTTACTACAACTTCCCGCAATGTAGGAAGATGCCACACAAACACCACTGCAGCTCGTGTGAGGGTGGGCAGACAAGATCCTCTCCTTAAAAACTTAAACAGTCTAAAACCAATCTCCTAGTGGACACGTTATTTCCAATCCACTGTTGCTAAGGGAAACTTCAGCACTTGCAATTTCTATGGCAACCCACAGTTCCCAACACCGGTGGATCCTGTGATTTCCTTGCAAGAGTGTTAATGCATATATTACCCCGGTCAAGTCAGGCCTCCTACAGCTCGGCCATTCATGGAGCCAACGGCGGCTGGCGTTTTGTCAATCCGTCATTTCATCATGCTGGTCACAGCTGACTATCGCAACCACGCCAGACCGGACTGATCAAGATGTCAAGCTCTGAGAAGCTTCTCTGACTTTTTAAGAAACAGAAGTATTGATCAGAAAGAGGCTGTGCAGGAGTACCACACTGTGCTGGATCCCATTTATCAGTTTAAGTCACTTTTACCACTTAATGTGTAAAAGCATTATGAAGCAGCGCGGGTACTGAAAAACAAGAGTCTACATTTCAGGGATTTCCATTTTTTTATCACTTTTAATGGAGCAGCTTGGGAAACATCCTGATCATCATTAGTGGTCAGTTAAAGGTCAAGGCAGGGACAGATGGACACTTAAAGTTGATAACTGTGATACGACTGCGTGGGGCCTGATGATAAAACCTGAAGTATTAATCTCTTGTCGACACTTTTTAAAAAATTTAAAAAACACATAAAGTTTAACTGAGGATAGCTCCAGCAGCAAAACCAGGAATTCAGTATATAGCGATGGTACACGTCAAATCAGTTTTTCTCAAAGTCGATTTGTGTAATTTTACATATCACACTGATGTTTGTTCAAGTGCTTTTTTGTTTCGTTATTTAATGCAATGAAAACAAGGTGTAACGTAAAGAAAGTTAAATCTAATCTAATGAGTCTAGAATCACATCAGACTGTCTGACATAGTTTGCCTCATGCTCCAGCAGAGGGCGCTCACCATCAGCTCGACCTATTGCATCCCCTCTCGAGCCAAAGAAAGCCAATCATGTCACGTTGTTTTGCCACGAGAATGGAGCAAAGCTGTCACCATCTGAGAAGTGATGTGTGGCAGCAAAGTAAAGGGTGAGCCTGTTTTCATGGCGGTGGCTTTGTGCATGCAGGGAATTTGAACAAATTCTGTTTCCCGTCAAATTTGTTCAAACTTTATTTTCCAGGAAAAAAATGCTAATTGAGACTGACTGGAGATGATTCAAGCGAACATATCGTTTGGACTTCAATACAGCAACGCCATTCCCCTGATCGCCACTGCTCATACTCTGGCTATAAAACCTTTGGCGCAAGATGGCAGCGTTTGCACGGGGGATGTTCTGGCTTCATTTTTGGAAATGCATCGTCCATCTATAAACTCAAAAAGATTCACAACCTGGTGAAAGATGCGAAGAAGAAGCTCCGACCCCTCATATCCTACTCATAACCTCGGCCAGCTCCTTAAACAGCTTTTTTACTGTCAGGACCAGAAACTCATTACATCACATATCACTTAGCTGACGCTTTTATCCAAAGCGACTTCCAATTAATGCATTTAACCATGAGGGCACAAACCAACAATAGCAAGAATCATGATGGGAGTATAACATATAACCAGACTGCACACCAGTTTATGTATAAAAAATAAATTCCACCGTCAATCAATCAATCAATCAATCAAAAAGCTGAACCCAGGCCTGTGAATCACCCTGTTACTTGTACCAGTGAACAGATGGGTCTGAAATCTAGTCAACGCTACGCATGGTTTACCACCTACATTCCTGATTACATGTGGTTTCTATTAATAGAAGCCAAACACCTACACAGCAACTTGCTCCTCTACGGTACAATGAGCTGTAAACTGTTATCTCTGTAGACCGCGCACCGAGCTGGAAACATCCTCGTGGATTTGCTGCACGATCATATTTATCTTCTGCGCATTCACTGTATCTACATCATCAATCCCTTTTAAGTTTGTGCTGAGATCTGTGTCACTTTTTTTTGTGGGCTTTTTTTTCTGAGGAGGGGGGTGGTGGTGCTCCTCGGAGCTTTGACTACTGACGTTACAGCTGGATCCAGCCGAAGCCAGCAATTACCCAGCAGTCCCTACCCACTGCCAGCATGCCTCATCTTCACCAATTAGCGTAGAGGGTGATATTCTACATGCTGTTTTGATCAAACGGTGACACGCTGCCAAGGCAGCAAAACGCAGCTGAGGAGCCCCTAATGAAAGAAAATGAGACGCTATTAATTCTTGATAATGATAATCAGCAAATCGGTGAGTGCTCTCTCACTCAGCAGTGGCACCGGAGTCCCACAGGGCTGCCTCAGCTGGGGCTAAGAAAACATTGGAGATGCACTGATGACTGTAAAGCTTGTACTCATCCGTCGTTCGTACAAGTGCCGCACAATCGCTGAGGCAGCAGTGAGGAGAAAAACAAATGGACGCAATCACGCCACAGGTCCGACGCGCACGGTGTTAAAGCACCTATTTATTCAGGTTCTGTGGGCTTCTGACAGAAAGCCCAATCAAAAAGACAGAGGAGCCCCCATGCACGACTGTAGCCAGGGAAAGCCAATTATATCTTTCAACTGTGCAACGCAATGTATTGATGTAACCATTTCACATTTTGTTGATGTGACAATCAAGCATGTGGGCGAGGGCGCTGCTATCGTTCGCTCCACTCGAATGCGAAATCCAATTTTTGTGGGTACATCATCTCTGCTGGAGTTACGATAGCAGCTGGGGGCCCCGTCGATGGCTTCGTCTTTTGGAGCGTGCTTGACCTTTCTATGCGGATGCATGGACGGTCGGAGCGGTGCTGCACTTCCTCCGGCTGAAAGCAACAAGGTAACTCAACTCAGAAGTATGAGATCAGCTGGGATCAAAGATCTCCAATAAGTCTGGCACAGCGAAAGGTCGCGGCTGCTCAATCAGAACACGCCGACAACAAAGCCCCGACATCACAGGCTGTTTGAAGGAGATTTTCAGAGAGAGTTTCCTTCTGCTCTTACATGCAGGTCTGCGTTTGAGGACACTGTCATGAAAAATATATGCACTTTTGAAACACATAAATGAGCAACAAAACTCATTGGCATTCTGCACCTCTGACCTTTGCATCATTTATTAATGTGGAGAGTTACGTCTCAGATGTTTGCAGCTCTTGTCGGCTCCTTCCCCCGGTGTTTGACGCCGGCAGGGGAGGAGAGAAAGATAACAAACTGCTGATGTCAACAGACGGACACCTCTCTCCACAGTGCACTAGCTTTGCCTGCTAATCCCGAGAAAATCCTGAGAGAGTCAATGGGGGGGCGTTTTGGACAGCTCGCCCATAGGTGTCATTTGTATTCATCAGTCGAACGCACGGGGGAAGCGGCGAACTGAACGCAGCATAATCAAGGAAAACAGTTGCAGAAGCATCCGAAACACAAAACCCCTGCTTTAAATACTGGAATTAAATCAACAAAACACAGCAACTCCCATTAAACACGACAAATACGCAGGATTTGACAAATCTGTGAGTTTAAGGGAAGTGCTGATCAGCTCAGAGGGAGCAGAAGTGAATGGAACTGATAAGAGCGACTCAACCACTGAGCCCAGAGCTCACTCTCCCTGAGTGTGTGTGTGTGTATGTGTGTGCACTTGTTTGTTGCCTCTTTAGGGACCTTTTCTAGTATGAACACTGACCTTGTCAGGACCAGCGAACCTCATGGGGACCAAAGTCTGCTCCTAATGAGGCAAATGGTCATTTCTGAGCTCCTGGTGAAGGTTAGCAGTTATTCGTGAAGTGTGCAATGTTTAAAGTTAGAGATAGGCATCAAAAATCGCACGAAAGCACGTGGGCAGTGACAGTTCATTTGTTTCGGCTGTTTCTCTTCTCTTCGTGCATAGAAACGACATAAAAGCCTTAACAAGGACAAGTGTGCAAGCTTGTGTGAGTGTTCTAGTTGTCGTTTTCCAGCATAAACAAGGACCTTGTCAGGACCAGTTGACGTCGTGGGGACCAAAGCCTGGTCAGGGGAAAAAGGTTTTAGTTGTGCTGTCTGTCCACAATGAATGGAAGTCAATGCAGGGTCCTAACGAGGATAGCAAACCTTTGTGCGTGCATGTGTGTGATCAAGGTATTACCCATGTTGTAGGGACCTTATCACATTAGGATGAACCAAAAGCAAATCCTCACAATGTAAATCCTGACATTTAAAGGTGAACACATAAGAGGAATGGTTTAGGGAAGTTGTAGCTATGTTAGTCAGCAGGAAATCTATGTAAGTCCTTTGCCACTGTGCACGTGGGTTATAGCCACAGACTGTATATATAACTATGTATATAAAGAGGTTATAGCGGAAGAATGACAAACAGAAGCTCTGCTGTGTGGGTTTCTGACACGTGAACTGCAGCAGGGTGACGAGATGCACATACTGTACCCAGAGGTTACTACCCCCCCACCACCACCACCACCACCACCACCTCTACCACCTCCCCTCTTCGTAGACTTGAATGATAATGAGAAAAGCATGCGGGCAGAATATTCATAGGCTGTCACATTACTGTGCTTCTTGAAACTGGGGCTGGGAGAAAGAAAATGCATAGAATATGAGGAGCATAGTGCAGGAGGGAGATGCAGGAGCTCCAGGCCTCCTCATCCTCCTCTTCCTCCTGATGTGTTTGAGCTGTGGTGGATCACTGGTAATTAATCACCGTGTCCCTGCCTGCAGAGAGAAATGCAACGGCTGCAACACTGGGAGACACTTTCCATTCATCTTTCATTAGCCAGGACTTTTCTAATGGAGGCAGCGGAGCAGCGGATGCACCTGTTGCACAGAGAGGGAACTAGATTTTTCTTTTTTTAAAGGGATAGTTCACCCAACAGTGAAAATCCACTCATTATATACTCAGCACTATGCCGATGGAGGGGTGAGTGAAGTGTCTGAGTCCACAAAACACTGGTGACCACTTCTACAAATGTAAAGAATATGTCTCTATATTTTCTTTGCCATTTACTTCATCCATATTGGATTTGGCTCTTTACCTGTTAAACTCCAAAAGTGTTTTGTGGACTCAAACACTTCACCCACGCCTCCATTCCTCATTTTTGGGTGAACTATCCCTTAAATAGCTGCAGAATGAAACCACACGAATGAAAACAGGGTGAAACTCTTTCTGTCCATTATTGAACTTTTCATGTGGAATGAGAGTGAGCTCACCTTCAGTGACTCTATGTCCAGAGTGGTGGACTGATCCATGTCACAGCCTCCCGGGTCCTGGTCACATATTTACATTAAACTTCGCACCAGCCCCCCCCTCGCCCCCAACGCTCCGCATCTGCCGCCGCATCTGCCGCTACAGCGACCGATCCGCGTTTCTTCTCTGCTATTCACAAAGAAAATACGCACATCCAGAGTTTTACGCATGTGAGACTTTCTTTAAATCTGCGCAGCGGTGCACTCTGGGTGTTTTCCCGTCCTGTGACGTCCCGGTGCTGCGGCTCCTCCGCTCCTCACTTTCCGCTCCCGGAGTCGCTCCGCTTCAAAAACTCATCCGCCGTCAAGTCACGAGGAGTCACGGCCCAACACTTCCGGTTCCCCCGTGTTGAGAAAATAAAACGCAAATTTAAAACCCCCCTCGACGAGATGGTTTATGCCCATTGTTTATTTTTTATACTCATATTTTAATATCTCATCCATACATTCTTTTTTCATGCTCTTTTATCAATTTTCTAGTTTTATTTGATTTAGGTATTTATGTCGTATTATGTTATTGGTTTTATTTGGCCTACTTATTCATCTCATTGTTATTTTTTATCTTAACTTTCTTACTGTCAATAATCTGCATTCCTGTAGCTGCTGTATAAACACAGACACATGGTGGACCAAGAGATGTGCAAAGCTAATAATAAACAACTTAGATTTCAACATTTACCTTTTCCTTTTTGATCACAGGCATTAACGTGGTAAAGTACCTTTCTACACATCAGGTTGTATATATCTCGTAAACCATCAACAACATGGTGATGATCTTCCCAGCCCATTGCATGTGTCTGTAATTTGGAAACAGCAACTTTAATGTGAGTCTCAGTTTTTTCAATCTTTTAGATTTACCTTGATTGATTGCACAGATTTATTCTGAAAACAAAAACTAAGCCATTTCTGTTTCAATTGTTGCTGACTTGACAGAAATCAAATCCCACTTCACAGATGAAGCCCTGTTTAAAACCAGACTCAGCTGCAGCACCAGCACCAGTAAGACTTTAATGGAACATTATGGTGAAATGATTTGACCTGTTTCCTCCTCATACTGTAAATATAACTGGCACTGAGTCCACTCCCATTCTTTGGTTATTGGTGACACCTGCAGGACATATTGTGTCACTGCAGTGAGAAATGTCTGTCGACCAATGCTGCACGTGGGCTGTGATTGGTCAAAGTGACTGAGATCGTTGGTAATTAACAGCCAAACACAGTCCACACAGACAAATGTATAGTTTGTATTAACTCTTTAACTTTTTAAAAAGCTGAGTTGAGAGTATTTTTTACTTTTAATTTCATTACATAGTTTTTCTATATGAGAAACTCAGTGTTTGGCAGAGAGCCTGGATTCAGAAGAAAGACTTTAAATGAGAGGTTATAGCCCTATAACATTTTTCTCATCCTTTTATAATTTAATCATACAATTTCATAAAAACATTTCTAGATGGAAAGAGGATAGATAGATAGATAGATTTAAATAATACAAAATGCAACGTTTTGGGCGTTTATAATTTTTTTAAAAACAGTGTTTTAAAATTAAAACATGAATGTGTTTAATTAGGGGTTTGCAGTACCGTGTGAAGACAGCAGAGGGCAGTCAAGTCTCAGGCTGGTGTTTCCAGACAGACACAATCAAACCAGATCTCACACAAAGAAACCTCTGAACTAGGATCAACAATCAATCATCGAATACATCGATTCCTCATCGCAGGGATGTCAGACGCCAGCAAACAGCTGATGGCGCAGAAAAGGTAAAGAACCACATCTGACCGTCTGTGTTATATCATCAGCTTGTGTTTGGATCAGGTTAAAGGATCCAGAAATGAAAAAAAACATGTAATTTTATCTTTTTGTTATCCTGTAAAATCCCTGATGTCGTCACCTGCACACACACAGAGCGAGTGAGCACTGACATCATATAAGTGCTGCTCTTATAAAAGATGCTTTCATCTTCAGTGACCTGGATGTCTCATATATTCTCCTGTGTGTTGTCACAGTGCGAAAATTGCAGCTGGAGCAGTTGTGTGTGTTGAGTGTGAAATCAGAGGAGATGTGACCATTGGTGAGAGATTTTCAATTTCACTGTCAACGATGTTTTGTTGATTTTTTTTTTTAAATCAAGCTGCTGCATGTTGCTGAAAATCTTTTATTCCTGATATTTTTTTCGCAGGAGCCAGAACAGTCGTCCACCCAAAGGCCAGGATCATAGCTGAGGCTGGGCCTATTGTCATTGGAGAGGGGAATCTAATAGAGGAGCAGGCTCTTATTATCAACAGGTAATAATGATAACAATAATGATGATGATAATGATTTTAGTTTCAGTTCATGTGATCTCACCTGGTGGTTTTTTTTAAATTCTCTAGTTATCCAGAGAACATCATGCCAGACACAGAGGGAGTGGAGCCAAAGACCATGACGATTGGAACCAACAATGTGTTCGAGGTTGGATGTGGTATCCTTAACGATTAAAAAATAAAAATAAATCAGTATATATATATCTTATAACTGATATATCACAAATATCTAAATGTAGGTTATATAGGAAAAACGCCTCTGGAGAATTATTATAGATTTTGTCCACCAGAGGGCACTGACAAGTTTGTTTTTTTCTACTTTGAAGCTTCTCAGGACTAATATTCAAAAATTGCAATTTCATAGATTTAAATCCTTAATAATTCTACCAGTTTCTCAAGCTCTGAAAATTGGAGACAATAATGTGATTGAGTCGAAGGGTAAGTACTGTACTCCTTCACAGTTTTCAGTTCTGTGTCCAACAGTCGAAATTATCCAGAGATAAAACTTCTGAGTATTCTTAATTGATCTACCGTTCGGCGTTACTCTAGCTGGACCTGGTTTTGAAAATTTAATCAGCAGCAGCATTCCCTCTATTCTGTGTCATCAAATTCATTTTCAAGCTGTTAATTTAACACGAAAAAGTTGAATCATCTAATATTTTCTATACATTTCATCAGTTTCTAGTCTCTTTCCCTTTTCTCGCATTAAATTGCAGCTGATCTCGGGCGGAATGTGATGCTGACCAGCGGCTGCATCGTCGGCGCCTGTTGCCAGGTCAACACGTGCGAGGTCGTGCCCGAGAACACGGTGGTGTACGGCTCAAACTGCATCAGGCGTGTGCAGAGTGAGAAGCCGCAGGTCAGTTCTCCACCGATGCTTGATTGCGAGTTTGTCTCGGCGGATATGTGTAACCAGATGTTTGTTTTTATCTCGTAGCCTCAGACTCTGCAGCTCGACTTCCTCATGAAGATTCTGCCAAACTACCACCACCTGAAGAAGACGGTGAAGGGAGGCGGCACGCCCGTGAGGAACTGACGTGCAGGAATCAAACGTCCTGCACACGCTGACACCACAAACTCTCACATTTCCCTCAGTTTGCACTCGTCATTTATTTTTTCTGTATTGTCTAAAAAAATTACCTGTAGCATCGAAAAAGTTCAGCACACTGTACAGGAGCCTTTCAGGTGACTTTTGGGGCCAAACAAACAGAAGTTAAAGGGGTTTTCACAAAATTGTTGATGCAGTGGAATAATACAATCTGCCATTATCAGCTTGGGCCCCCAGGAAATTTCAACGGCCCTGATTGCTATTACTCTTTTACATATCTGACCTCTGCTCTTGCACTTTGTTTTCATTTATAATGTGTTCTAGTCCTGAAATAAAATCTTCAAACAAGTCAATTCATTTTATTTATCTTTATTTATAATTGATCCATTAAAGGGACAGAAGATTCTAATAATGATTATGTTTGATGGTTTTATAGTGTCTATATTTTTTGACCACAAGGTGGGGCTATTGAGCGACACTGCACACCTCCTGCCCTGAAGGCTTTGTTTCGTCAAACGATACCAAATGTGCAATTAAAATATTATTTATTAATACTAAACCTAAAAATATCTCTGTCATCATGATGCTGTATTAAAAATAGTCGTAAAATGTAGTTTTCTGAAAATAGTTGTGACAAATGACACGAGCCCTGGCGACAGTAAAGTTATTCCTAAGAAGATCTCTGCGGGTGTGGTGGTGCCCATCTTGGTTTCGGTGGGTTGCCAGTCCTGTGGCCTCCCACCAGGGGTTGCCAAATTGGTGCCGGGGTACAGTGGGAATTCCACACAGAGCCTTGGTTTATTGTAATTGACATGGGTGTGGTTGCGACTTGCATTTCTTCTGCAGGATGGGTCTGAATAACGCCTGGCGCCCTCCTCCTCGTGTCGAAGCCCCTTGGGTTTTGCTCCCATCTGCGCCACACACACACACACAGATTTGGGCGTGGGTAGAAATGTGTGTGTTTGGTGGACAGCTCGATCACGGCCTGAAACACCTGACATAAAATTAATACCGATGCCACATTTTACAGTTGTTTTCCTGTGGACGTGAAGCGAGCTCAAGGCCGTCGCTCCTGCTCTTCAGACTTTAAAGGGTTTGTGTCACGCTCTGTGAGGAGGGCGCCGCACGGTACAGCAGCTCCCTGCAGGAGGCCCACAGCTGGTGTCGCACTCTGCCAATACTCATTTGAACATGTCACGGTGGAGTCCCACGAGGAGTCCACACCAACCAGGGGCTAATTATTTCAGCAGAGGAGTGCAGCCGGGGCCACGTCTAGGCTCCTCTCTGTTCTCACGTTTTTTTTTTTTCCACTACCATCATTTTTACTTTGGGGTGTTGCCAAGGCGTCACTTTACTTTAGCATGACAAGGAAGACAGATGCTGGGCGCAGTTGCACGAATGTGGACCTAATGGGGGCAAGCGTGGCCTTTTTAATCCACAGAGGGTTTTTACTGAGACAAAATGGCCATGATGATAGCAACTCACGGTAGGAATTTAGAGAGGGAGTTCAAATGGTGATCTATATTTGGAAACAGTTATTTATATCTCTGCCTTACTGTACTGTTGGGAAAGTAAATTCTCCAGCTTCCACTCGTTTGTTAAAGCTTTTGTTCATCACAGTGGTGTTGGCTTTTCTGTCAACGGGGTTATCTCAAGTCAATGTTTGGCCTCAGCTACAATACGCAGCATTCCCCGAAGAGTCAATAATATCTTATCGCACACAAAGAATTCGCCAAAGAAAATACGAGCGAAACCCGTTTCTCTTCAGCCGTTTGGAAACACGTCGAACTCTGACATTTTGCAAGAGCAACAACAACAAAAAAAAGTTCTTCCCCTTCG